AAATAAGAAAGAAGGTCATTTGTAAAGGCTAAACCAGGCTCGGGACTCTACTGCCTTTTACTCATTGTTTCTTTTACTGTAATTTTACTGTTACCAAGTGTTCTAGCCAGCATCACTTTATTCTGGGATCATAGACGGCACATTTATTTCAATCAGAATTTTGTAAATTTATTGCAAGGATAAATAGATAACCTGTGGATCAGTGCTAATTCATCACAGCTAGATAAAGAACTGAGAATACAGGGTGACTTAGTACTTTCTGTACAAAGGACATGATGATGTGTGGCCTCTACTTTCCTCCTCACTTATATCATTATTTATACATAGCACAAAACATTGTAATTGAATGCATTCACATAAAAATGTCTATTGAGATAATATACCACAGTAAAAGTTTGGTTATTGGGCATTTGGCCAAATGGAAATTGTGGTCAGAAGTTGAAGGAAGCCTTTATATCTTTGAGAAAACATGAAGTTCAAAGAAAGTTTTTCTGGAGGACTGTTATTGTTAGAGACAAACAGGGGACACTACACATTGAAGTTAGTGCTCAATAGCAAGGTAGAGTAAAATCTGCAGTGATAGTTGCTCTGATGAGAATGAGGGAGGCAAGTTACCCATTAGGTGTAATGTACACAGTATGGGCTCTCTAAGCCTACTGCGTGCACGTGTGAAAAGGCAGCCCACTCCGTTCCCTCTATTCCCATGGTGCTTGCTTTGTATCTGCAGTATTCATATTCATCCTATTATCTATATATATGAAAGCCTAAGCAACCATTATGACCAAACGACCAGAATGACTGGAGCGACCAGTCAAACAGTCACTATGACGCTCACTGACCACCAGGGGGCAGACATTCAATGCAGGAGCTGCCCCCTGGTGGTCAGTGTGCTCCCACAGCCAACCTCCTGTGGCCGGCCAGTGGTGCCGGCTGCCGGCAGCCGTTTCTTCCTCTTCCCGGCGACCACCACCTCTTCTCCCGACCCCACTGGGGCCTTTGGCCCAGGCTGGGACGAGGAGCCCGGGGTGGGTGGCAGCAGACATGGCCCCTTTCCCAGCGGGGCCGAGGGCTGGCTCCCTCCTTGGGGCCGGCGGCCAACCTCCCGCACCCTGTCCCTTCCCGGGGCTGACAGGCCACAATGGCCCAGCCCTGATTGGCCCTGATCGCTGGCCAGGACTAGGGACACCACCCGTGAATGACTGGAACCAGTCAACCAGTCACTATGATGCTCACTGATGACCAGGGGGTAGACATTCAATGCAGGAGCTGCCCCCTGGTGGTCAGTGTCCTCCCACAGCTAACCTCCTGTGGCAGGCCAGTGGTGCTGGCCGCCGGCAGCCAGCAGCCGTTTCTTCCGTGCCTGGCCCGGCGACCACCACCTCTTCTCCCGACCCCACTGGGGCCTTTGGCCCAGGCTGGGACGAGGAGCCCGGGGTGGGTGGCAGCAGACATGGCCCCTTTCCCAGCGGGGCCGAGGGCTGGCTCCCTCCTTGGGGCCGGCGGCCAACCTCCCGCACCCTGTCCCTTCCCGGGGCTGACAGGCCACAATGGCCCAGCCCTGATTGGCCCTGATCGCTGGCCAGGACTAGGGACACCACCTGTGCACAAATTGGTGCAGCAGGCCTCTAGTCAATTTATATTTGAACACTTTGAGAGTAGAGCTTCTTTTTAATACCATGTTGTAACAACAAAGTACTACAGACACTAGGATTCCCCCTTCTCCCCACACAGGAGAGTTTTGTTTGTTTGTCTTCATTTGAAACATATTACCCTGGGATAACTTTATTTTATTTTTTTCCTTTTAAGTGTTAGACACCATCATGTCCAAGAAGCTTGGCCTCAATAATATGCCGCTCTCGGTGTTCCCATACTATACCTCCTTGGGCACAGCTTTGTATGGAAAGGAGAAGCCTCTGATCAAGCTTCCAGCACCATTTAAAGAATCTTTGGATCATTCTTTGTGGAAGTTCTTACACAAAAGGAATCATCTGATTGAGGAGATAAATGAAGAAGTGAGACGTTCTCACTGTGAGCTAACATGGTCCCCACTCAATGGTGAAGTTACCATCAGACCTGCAGCCACCTTAGTCAATCAAGGAAGAAAAAGAATCAAGAACTGGAAGAAAGATGCTTCCACAGCCTTCTTTGGCATCAGGTCTAGATTTAAAGTTACCCCATTTAAAGTGGACCCAGTAGTGTGGGACATCATGAAAAATGACTTAGAAGATGAAAGAATTTTGATTGAGTTTGATACAG